TCCTACTCCTGTCAAGATCAATCGTGATCTGTTTACTAATGCTCCTCCTCCTGTTCTTCATCTCGTAATGTAAGATGTACTCCTATCCATTTCACGAAGTACCAGATGAAAATTTGAAACAGTATTTCGTACACAATTTCGGTCAAAACATTTTTTTCTCTTCCGATTTTGACATGTAATAATAGATAATGGACTTCTGAACATAGACTATTGAAACAGTACAACGTTCATTGGTCCACAACCTTAGACACCGCTGCGGTGACCTTGAGACTTCTGATAAAAGATCAAAGTTGTCGAAAACATCTGAAACGCACATCAGTCGATTCAGTTTTTGATGCGGATTTCAGATATATTATTAATTTTGCAAAAAAATGAAACTTTAGCGTCAAAGTTCTTATTTGAAATATCAAATGGAACTGATCACAATCACATTTGGAAATCAGACATTTACAGTGTCCTTTTAGAAAAAGAAAAGATAGAGAATGCTCTAATGTTCATGAATCGCTAAACTTTTTCTCGATGTCATTCTTAATTAAGCTTCCAACTTAATTACCAGAATAATATTGACAGGAAAATGTTTTTGAAAATTGACAATTATTACTTTTTACAAGAATAGACGGTCAAAACATTTTTTTCTCTTCCGATTTTGACATGTAATAATAGATAATGATCTTCTGAACATATCATGTGACCAGCATGTAAATCGGCCTTTGGAAACCTACGAAAACATTTTTTTCTTTATTCCGTGTGATTTGCACGGAGTAGTTATAATTACCCGATGAAAAATAGCAGTGTGGTTATAATTACGCCAGTTCGTGTATATAGAAAAAAATGACTGGTCTTTTGATTCCACTAATTTCTCATAATTAAGAGTAAGGTTGATTGACTGAAAATTCATGAGGTTGAATAAAGCTCGAAATTCTCTATAAGATGGAGTAAGTTTTAATTGGAAAGGTGAAAGTTCACCGTTGGATCACAGTTGATTTACATCGTCCCAGCCGTTCTTGTTGTGATGGTTATACTTACCTCAGCGGAGTACGTTGACTGGTACCCCATTTGGGGTAATTATAACCATTTAAGAGTAACGCACTGGAAATTGAAGGGCACTAATTAACGGTAATGAATTTTCAAACAATTTTTATATCAGTGCATAGCTGAAAGTCATATGTATCTACCTGTGTAGTCACGATATTTGTATACACTTCATTAAAGTGTGAAGTCGAAAATACTTCTGACTGTACCGTCTATATGAATAACAAGAAGCTAATTTGGTACACTTCAGCTGTACTGAATATTTGCACAGAAAGCTTGTTTATTCAGACACCGCAACAGAAGTCTAATTCGAGAAAGAAACATTCGATGGAGAGGGTGAGGGTGGCTTTTCTTTTTATGGTCTATCTAGGGGAATTGCTAAAAGACGCGGACACCCACGAACACCCACAAACATAAAGAAGAAAAGGTAAGAACACCCAAAAAAGTGTGCCAAATTCATCTCCAGGCTGATCTGAGCCTAGCAGTTTCTCATCCTCACCCTCACACCTCACCCTCAGCCGAGAACAATCTGGAGATGAATCTGGCACACTTTTTTGGGTGTTCTTACCCTTTCTTCTTTGTGTTTGTGGGTGTTCGTGAGTGTTCATTCAAAATATATGCTTCAAAAGCGAAACTATAAAAAATGTTTTGGGTGTTCGTTAGGCGTTGCTATACTCATCGGCGAGCTGTATCAATTGGTTAACCCAGATTTTAATTTGGGGGTGTTCGTGGGTGTACGTGGATGTTCGTAGGTGTTTGCGCCTTTTAGCAATACTCTATATTTAGATTTATTTAATGATACCGTTCGGCACTTTAAAATGTTAAAAATTTTGGAAATCACTTGTCTAAAAATACCTATTTCATTAGCTATTAACTGGCGTTTAATAGGCAATTAACTAGCGTTTAATAGGCAATTAACTAGCGTTTAATAGACATTTAACCAGTATTTAACAGGCAATCAACTGCACTGTTTTCGACGTCCTGGGTATTCATCCACTTGCACATTTTCTTAGAGTCAAAAAGATATACTCAAAAAAATTCTCCCAGTTTCCGTTCACAAATGGGTGAATCCAAGCCGTTGGTGAATTCATGGACAGAATTTGGTCAGTTGGAATTAGTTTGTGTTGGCAGTGCTGAAGGTATGTGCTATCCGGACGATAGAAAACCTTATCGCGTTATTCATATATCACAAGGTCAGTTTTTCGTTTAGAGGCGTGACAACAGCTCACTCTGTTTTTTTCATCAGACGTTAGACCAAAGTTTGAACTAGTTATGACCCAGATATTTCCAAAACCTCCCTTCTCTGATGGGAGGAATGTTTGTTTTAAAAGCTGTTGAGACGTCGAAATAGCGCTACTTTCGGTAATATTTACTCCAAAACGAACGGAGTTATAGTATTCTAAAGGGTACAAAACTTGACTGTTTTGCTCTGTAATAGATCGGAAGTTCATTTTCGCAAACATATTAGACTCAACTCGTTTGTAAAAGCTTCGATATTCATTCGCAGCGTCATTGATGATTTTTACTGTAAGTTTTATATCAATAGCTCCAGTTTCTATATCGACAGTAAGAAAGAATAAAAATTTTTTCCAGAAGGCCCAAAACGTATAAATCACCCTTTAGGTGTTCTATTTAATGGTATGCTTAAAATTCTCCGGGATGGTTTCACTTAAATAAAACTTGAGTTCAAAATTGGATAACAAGTGCATTTGCACGGTGTTGAAGATCGACCACTGTATGAAAACGAGACTATTCCTCAAGCTCAGATGAAGCTGAATCCGTTTGGATCGAGCAGAAGAATTGGTGTTATTTTTCAACTAGAAAAACTAGATAGACTTGCAAGTTGGACACTGAGTGATTCAACATTTCTACCCCCACACGTTTACAAACCCACACGTTTTACTAGGAAACAGAGTAGCTGTTACAAACTAGCGATTATCTGAGCAACACATTACCTCTCAGATTTTACTGGAATATAATTTTAAAGAGAATTATTCTCTCTATCGATTGAAAGGCTTTTCGAAAATTTTATATAATATGGATTATTCCAACTCTTTCTGAATTTATTTACTGATGGCTTTTTGACGTCGAGGTATCTTCTTCAGACCTGGTGCAATAAAATGCTTTTATTCGTCACAAGTTGTTTCGCGCCCTTTTTTTTTTTGAAAAAAGCGGTTTCCAAGAAAGATTCTTCTATCAACAAGAGTAAAAGAGCCGGGCTCACAGCGGCTATTGTAGTAGTGTAGTACTAAGTTACTACTATTTCGAAAATAAGCATTGCTAAACCCGTTGTGTGAATAGTCGCACTTTTGTGAGTAGCTTCTCAGTATGTATCACATGAATTTTAACAAAAAGAAGCATATGTAACTCAACGACCTCAGCAAGAAGAGCATAGTGAAATTCCGCCGGATTAAAGGGTGTATATAAAGCGGGACGACTTGCGTAGAAATACGCTTATTCGTTTAATTGGTTTTTCAGAAAAGTAAGCAATTTTTTCCATTGTCATACATATTTTTTTCTCCTGATCGACTTTGACTACTCTGATCGGAGGGACATTAGTTTTACCGGCTCCTACTCCTGTCAAGATCAATCGTGATCTGTTTACTAATGCTCCTCCTCCTGTTCTTCATCTCGTAATGTAAGATGTACTCCTATCCATTTCACGAAGTACCAGATGAAAATTTGAAACAGTATTTGACAACGTTCATTGGTCCACGACCCCCTAAGCGTATTCAACAGGCGCAAGAGCAACTTCAAAATTTATGTAGTTTATTACACGGCGAGCAAATTGAAGTCAAAGATGTCGAGGAAATAGACGGAGATATTCAACAAATGCTAAAACGTAAACGATGTTCGGTCGTAGACCAACAGCCGACGACATCGAGCGACGACAAGCGCATAGCAAAACCGTCGATCGATATTCTTCGAGCTCCGTCCGGTAAGCGGTTCGATCATGTGATTCGAACACCGCACTTTGAATCCCATTATCAGTTCGGTCTAACTTGTCCAAGAGATATTATAATAACAATTGGTAATACAATTGTCGAAGCACCAACGGCCTGCCATTCACGTTATTTCGAATCATCTTATTACAGAGAATTGATTTATCCATTATGGAATAGTGATCCAAAAATGAAATGGATACAACCACCAAGGCCGACTGTATCAGAATCGATGTTTAACGATGTAAACTATTGGGATAAGACAACAAGCGAACAGTTCAAACGTGATTTTAAAACAAATGGTTACAAAACAAATTTGAACGAAAACGAAATTGCATTCGATGCCGCTGATTTGATGCGTATGGGAAAAGATATTTTCTATAAAAAAGACGTATTTGCAAATAATCAAGGTCTCAAATGGTTGCGACGAACATTTTCTCCCGAAGTAAGATTTCATGCAGTTCATTTTCCTACCGATGGTACACCTCATATCGATGTCGATTTAATACCATTACGACCTCCATCATCTGGGTCACATGGAATTGTATTGATCAATCAGCTTCATCCACCATTAAAAGCTGAAATGAAATTATTTACTGATAATGACTGGCGCCCAATGTTCGTACCATTACCTGCTTGTATGGATACACCACCGATGGCTTTATGTAGTCCAAGTCTCAATATGAATTTACTGTCGTTAAGTGAAAAATGCGTTGTTATTGAAGAATGTGAAATACCATTATATCACTTTTTGGAAGATGAATTAGGCTTCGATGTTATTACGTGTCCATTGCGAGTTTTAAATGAATTCGGTGGTGGAATACATTGTGTAACATGGGACATTCGGCGAAATGATTCGTGCAAAGATTATTTCCCGGAACAAAATTATGAGGAAGAATGTAAAATAGACTTAGACAATTATTTTGAAACCGAAGAATACTCAGTGAAGACTGAAGACACAAATCGAACGGAACGGGAGCACAAACTGAACTAAAGACACAGATTGTGTCTACTGCTACAGGACCATCCCATGTAAACATTTTTTAGTCGTAGACGCGTCCGAAAACGCATGTGGTGACGTGTTTAAACGTATTTTTTTAAAGTTTTTGAAAAATATTTTTAATTTTTTTTCACATTTATTTTAATTCATAGTTAGGACTTGGTGTACTTTAGCATGTCCATTCTACATCGATATGAGAAGAGCAGGACTTGCCAGAAAGAAGCGCATGTCGACACGAATTGATCATGTCGCCTAGAGCAGACAGACAAATTACAAAGCAAGTTACTTATAGAGAAGTATTATAAACTTCTCATCTTGAAAATGTATTACACTTTCCATATAAAAATTATATAACTTTGAGTGCAAGATTTGTTTTATCGCATGAATTCATTTAAGTTAGAGTGAACCTTGAAAACTTCCAGGATAGAATAATGTACTAAAGCTCATAGCGCCAAATATACGGCATTATGGCTGGCTGGTCAAAGACGTCTCTTTATTTATTTGTTCAAATTTCTAAATAACCTTTTTAGAATATGCGAGATCTGGTCACAGGATTCGTTTTTCTTAAGGAAATTCAGTATGATCTAATTACTCTAAACAGCAGTTTTAAACTGTTGTGTGAACTGAGTAGAACGGTTTGCGGCCGTAGGTCTGGGTCGCCTTTCTGATGAAGTTTTCAGGCGCCTGTTTTCACAAGTCGATCTGCTCTACAATCTGGACGGATCAGAAACATTTTCAGTAGGAAAAGTTTTTGGCCTGGGAATCTACTTTTATAGAAAACTGGGTCTTCGAAGTCCTGGAAGCCAACCTAATGGTCATATCCGGGATCATCGTGGTCGATAACCTACAACTCCCTAGGTTTCGATAAAAAGCAATTTGACAGTTGGAAGGGTTTCCTCGTACGAAGCACAACTAACGCAGTAAGTATTCCGAGTACCGTATTCTGAAGATAATTTTGAAGAAAACTTAAAGAAACCTGTAACGGAGCCTTAGCTCAATCTGTAAAAGCTTATCGCTTTTTGCCGTTCAGCAATGTTTATATTTTAAAAATTTTGCTCATAAGAAACACTACAAACAAAATTTGGTGCGCTTTACCTATAGGTCTGTGAGATGATCTTTCGAAACGCGTTAAGGTGTGTCTGTTTAAAAAATGTTTTTGAACCGGGTCTGAACGCGCTTTCCTAAGGATAATTTCTTAGACGTGTTTAAATGCGAGTCGCCATTGATCAAAAAGTGAAAAATGAAAAAGACGCCTTTAACCCTTTCACTCCCGGTGGGATATATATTTAAATTTATACAGGAAAAACTACAGAACGATATTTGTCATTAGGAGAGCATGTAGTTTTATCATTAATAGATGGAATAAATTTGAAGAATCGTCAATTATTTTTTGATAGTTATTTTACCTCCTTTGTATTACTTTACAAGCTGAGAAAAAAAAAGATATCAGCTACCGGTACAATTCGATCCGATAGAAAATACTTCCCAATTGAATTGAAAGAAGGTGAAGCATTAGAGAGAGGAGATTTTCGATACCTATCAGCAAATGGAATTTCTGTGATAAAATGGATGGACAAGAAAGAAGTTCTAGTCGCATCAAATTACTTTGATCCTGAAGAATCAAGTGAAGTTACTCGACGACGTAAAGATGGTAGTAGACAACAAATTTCTTCTCCGTTAGCAATTGTTGAATACAATAAATACATGGGAGGACTAGATCTATTAGATCAAAAAATAAAGTATTACACCATTGATCGAAAGTCGAAAAGAAACTGGATGAGAATATTTTTTCATTTTCTTGGAATGTCAGTAGTGAACTCATTTGTCTATTATAAAGATCTTTCTGGTAGTAGTAATATTAGTACAGTAAAATATATATCATATATTAGCACCGCACTAATAGGTAACTATTGTAGTAGAAAACGAATAGGATTTTCATTTTTATTGGCTAGGCAGGACGATAATAATGGGACTTTACTCTCTTTTGACCTGTCTTAGTTATAACTATTTGTTTCATCAATAAATAAATAAAGTTTAAAAAAACGAATAGGAAGACCTTTGACAAGGAGTAATCAGAAGAAGATCCGCACCGAGAAAAGCAGTAGTGATTCGGAAGATTCTGAAAAAGTACGATTGTTAGCTCATTTGCCAGATGTTATTTCAACTTATCGTAGATGCGCTTATTGTAGTACAAAAGAAAAAGAAAAAAGAACGAATGTAATATGTATTTTTTGTGGTGTTTGTCTTTGTGTGATAATGTTTTTCTTTGTATCATCAAAACTATGTGTATCAACAATAAACTGAATACACGCATACTCATAGGAAAACACAGTTTTTTGTTATAACTTAACCAGCAGCCCCTGAATACTGCTTAGTCACTTAGCACTATGTTTTGTCAAACATAAGTTCCATAAAAAAAAGTCGAGAGTCAAAGGGTTAAACGCGCTTTTTTAAAGTCAAACTGTTAGACGCGTCAAGAAAGTTTCAAAATCTTTTTCTATAGACACTATTCGATAGCCTGGAAGCTGGGTGACTCATCCCTATTTTCCCTCCTTCGATTGAGATATCCATGACAGACAGGTCTTTACCTCCAAAATGGGTTTGAGATTGTACAGTTTTGAATACTGATTCAGAAAAAAAATAGTTTGAACATTTCGACTCACAACACAGCTTGGAAAATTCAACTTCACCGAAGTTGAAAGGTTTTTCATCTTTTGGGACCCTTCGAGTTTTTTCGATTTTTCGACACGAAGGAAGTCATTAAAAAATTTAAGAGGGTGATATTCTTGATCGCTAGCTTCCACGCTATCGAATAGTGTCTAATCTAATATATTGCTTATGACTTAGCGGCACCTGATCTTTTAATAAAGTTACTATTTTTGTATGTTTCAAATATTTTCATTTTATCACCATATTTGATAAATTAGATCAGATGCCGCTAAGTCATTAGCAAAATTTATTTTTGAATATATTAGATTAGACACTATTCGATAGCGTGGAAGCTAGCGATCAAGAATATCACCCTCTTAAATTTTTTAAAGACTTCCTTCGTGTCGAAAAATCGAAAAAACTCGAAGGGTCCCAAAAGATGAAAAATCTTTCAACTTCGCTGAAGTTGAATTTTCCAAGCAAAAACATTTTTTAAACAGACACACCTTAGCGCGTTTCGAAAGATCATCTCACAGATGTTATAGAAAAAGATTTTGAAACTTTCTTTGTCACCAGAAGATGTGCCAGAATCTCGGCTGTCGGTTGACGGAGACCAGAGATTTCTATCACGTTCGTGTTAAACATCAAACAAGTTGTTATAACTTTTACTTGTATTATATAACTAGAAAACAAAACCGAGGCCAGGCCCCGATGTTCAAGAAAAAACACTAGAAGGAGAAAATAGAAACCAAGATTTCTCTAAACACGCTAGAAAGTAAAACATAAAAACGTCAGAAATCAAGAGGAAAAGCAAGATAAAAGGGAAACGTTGTGTTACATCAGGAAAAAAGCAGGACGACGACGAGAGGGACCTTTGAGCATCAAGAAAGAAAAAAAATAATTCAGCTTTAGGGAGAGTATGGAGCGCTAATAGAGGAAAAATTTAGAGTAGCCTTATGCAAACCTTTCTGTTTGCTGGATGAAAGAACTCACTAAGTTATAGACTGCAGAGATAGAAACACTATGGGTGAGTTCATGAAGAAGCATTGTATCTAGATTGGGCTCCAGTTTAAACAATTTGACAGAAGCTAACAGTACATCTCTTTCGTTTCTATATGCGGGACACCGAACACACAAGTTTAGTTAATTAAAATTAGTACTCTTCGGTAAGTTCTTAAGTGATTGCAACATCTTCATGTACTAGTCATTTGCCAGTCATGAATAATTCATTTTTCAACAAGCATGATCAACTAACTCCTTTTTAGGTAGTGCACATCACAGACTCTCCACTAAAAGTCTTTGACATATCGTTAAGATACAATGATCTATCAATAACCAATCTCGAATCGTCGGACATCTGAACGATTCGTTTACAAAAAAAACAAAAACGTATGCGGCTTTTGGGCACAGAGGAGAAGTTCCTGGTTTTTTACATCACTTTGGTGCCCATGAATTGAATTTGAATTTCCTAACCAAGAGATTTTCGCTAAAACGTTTCAAAATCAGGTCAGTCGATAGAGAATTAAATTGTCTACAAAATGGTTTATTTACTTTTGAGTTCTGACTTTTTCAAAAATTTCTGCAAATAAAACAAAATCATAGAAAAACGTCACGGAATTACGTACGCAGGTAGAGTTAGCTGGCCAGGCCGAAGAGGTTTTTTTAAAAAGTTCACTGTTCGTTAAAGAAGCGTATTCGAATGATACGACTGGCTCTGCTCATTCAACGAGATTGAGCTACCTATATGCTGAAATTATTGCGAACTTTTTATGAAGTTCGGTGGTGCATGGGTCGAAACTTAAGTTAAACCGACTTTACATATTAGATTTTTCGTTTTACGTAAAAGTTCAATAACTCTTTGTAAGTATCAGCTGTTGATTTAAAAACCTAGAAGGACTGTGCATGATCAAAAGACGACGAAAAGATCGTGCACAGTCAGCCGCCGAAGGAAACAGTAACTTTTAGAAGAGTTAAATCCACAAAACGGGTAGTTTTTTATGTATTTTGATATTTTTGTCTTTTGTACATTGAAATAAAGTTTATGTTTTCATCATCATAAAAAACAAACGGCATCATACGTAACAAAACAAACTGTATAGATTTCTGCCAGATCTCATGATTTACTAAGCGCAAAGCATATTCCGCAAATGATTGAACGGTCCTCCTATTGCCTCACGCACGTCTTTTATGAACAAGCGTCTAGACGCGTCTAACAGTTTGACTTTAAAAAAGCGCGTTTAAAGGCGTCTTTTTCATTTTTCACTTTTTGATCAATGGCGACTCGCATTTAAACACGTCTAAGAAATTATCCTTAAGAAAGCGCGTTCAGACCCGGTTCAAAAACATTTTTTAAACAGACACACCTTAACGCGTTTCGAAAGATCATCTCACAGACCTATAGGTAAAGCGCACCAAATTTTGTTTGTAGTGTTTCTTATGCGCAAAATTTTTAAAATATAAACATTGCTGAACGGCAAAAAGCGATAAGCTTTTACAGATTGAGCTAAGGCTCCGTTACAGGTTTCTTTAAGTTTTCTCTAAAATTATCTTCAGAATACGGTACTTGGAATACTTACTGCGTTAGTTGTGCTTCGTACGAGGAAACCCTTCCAACTGTCAAATTGCTTTTTATCGAAACCTAGGGAGTTGTAGGTTATCGACCACGATGATCCCGGATATGACCATTAGGGTGGCTTCCAGGACTTCGAAGACCCAGTTTTCTATAAAAGTAGATTTCCAGGCCAAAAACTTTTCCTACTGAAAATGTTTCTGATCCGTCCAGATTGTAGAGCAGATCGACTTGTGAAAACAGGCGCCTGAAAACTTCATCAGAAAGACGACCCAGACCTACGGCCGCAAACCGTTCTACTCAGTTCACACAACAGTTTAAAGCTGCTGTTTAGAGTAATTAGATCATACTGAATTTCCTTAAGAAAAACGAATCCTGTGACCAGATCTCGCATATTCTAAAAAGGTTATTTAGAAATTTGAACAAATAAATAAAGAGACGTCTTTGATCAGCCAACGTATGAGTCATAGTTAATGAAGAAGAGAGTAAAGAAAGAAAGTTCTTATACAATATTTCATCACCTACATTAGTAAAACGGTAGAAGGGGTATGCACGTTGTTTAACTGAATAATACAGTAATGTATGGTGAAAAAGACGGATATACTTTTCTGTTCCTTAGTTGTGATAGTTTGAAATATAACTGTTAAGTATGTCCTTTTGCACAAGATAACAAGAGAAATATATTTTCTTCATGGTGGAAAGCAACAAAATTTGGTGACAAACGAAAAATAAAGAAACGGTAATAGTAGAAAACCTTTTGCCATATGGCTGTTGAATCGGTCGATGTACATGAACAGGTTTTATCGTTAGCGCCAAGAGAGTTGTCACTACCACAGACGTCATTTAATATAAACCGTAATCTAGAAGATTTAACACTTGTGTGGCTTGATTCAAATAAAGATGATTATTTGAATAGTATTTCAACTTTGCGCTGTATTATTAATTATACAAAATTTTTCACAAATCCTATTGATTGTTTAAATTATATTACTTCAATAAATAAGGAAAAATTGTTCCTTGTTATTTCTGGTCAATTTGGCAAAGAGATAGTACCATTGATCTTCCAATTACCGCAAGTTGCATCAATTTATATATTTTGTATTGACTTAGGAGAACATAAAAAATGGGTGAAAGTCTATGAGGCAAGGATAAAAGGATTCTTTATTAATAAAGATTTATTATTTCAAAAACTCATTAGAGATGTTAAGTTATATTCTAAAAGTTTATCATCAATCAGCACTTACTCACTGTCATCGAATGAGAAAAAACAAAAGTCATTAGGAAATTTAACAAAAGAAGATCATTTATTTGTCTACAGTCAATTATTAGCTGAAATATTTTTACAAACCAAACGTACATTAGATGAGAATACTGCACGACAAGAATTACTTCAAGCATGTCGAACTTATTATCAAGAAAATCAACTTGAACTTGGTAAAATTGAAGAATTTGAAAATACATATAGAGAAACAAATGCCATTACTTGGTATACTAAAGATTGCTTTTTATATCGTCTTATTAATAAAGCATTGAGAACAGAAAATATTGATATTATATTCAAGTTTCGCTTTTTTATTGCTGATCTTCATAAGCAAATAAAAGAACTGCATTCAGTAAACGTAAAAAATCCGAAACAAAAACGTGAATCGTTAACAGTTTATCATGGACAACTGATATCAGCTGATGAACTAAAACAATTGACAGTAAATTCTCTTATTTCATTCAATACTTTTCTTTCAACAACGACGTCACGTGAAGTTGCACTTATGTTTGCTGGTGATAATTGTTTATGTGTTGACGATTTTCGATCTATTTTATTTGAACTTGAAATTGAATGGAATTCTTATGCTAGCCCATTTGTAAACATATCACATTTAAGTTCGTTTGCTGACGAGGACGAGTACTTATTTTCAATAGGAAGTATATTTCGTATTGAATCAATAGAAAATCTGGTTAGTGGGACGTCACATGTCAGACTATTCTTAGATCATCAGATATCTATGAACATCAAAAACACTCTTGAGTTATTTGGAGATTATCTTAACGGCACTCAAATTAATCTACTAGAAAAATTTCTTTCCGAAACCGGATCTGATTGTGTTAATAAACAGAGAAATATCCAACAACTGTTGAAAGAATTCGAAAAAACCGCCTCGTATCATTTAGCTGTATTCTATGTTCACACCGGCTTTTTAATTCATTCAAATTATAGAATGCAATTAGAATATTATGAAAAAGCGCTAGATGCGATACCAGTTACGAATCGTCCTATGCGTGCTCTTATGTACAATAGTATTGCCGTAGTTTATTACACTAATTTCGACTATAAATCAGCATTAGACCATTATGAACTAGCAATTAAAGCTAATACTGATGCTTACTTGTTGAATGAGGAATTAAATGAAAAAATTAGTCAGATCTATGATGAATGCTCATCTAGTTTAGGCTTGAAAACACTGATAAACAGTGAAAAATTTATTCAAGATCGTATCAGAGCAAATTTATCCGATAATGATCCAGCACTTGCATCCTATTATGATCAAATAGCAAGAATATATGAAGAAAATCAGCTGTTTGAATTGGCATTAGAAAATTTTAAAAAGGCCATCCTTTCATATCAACAATATTTACCATCGAATCATTTAAAATTTCGTGATTTATATGAAAGAATAGGAAATGTTTACGTCGGACAATCGCATTATGTATGGGCATTAAAAAACTATGAAAAAGCCAAAGAATTCTGTCTGGCAGACGATCAACCATTGTGTGAAAAACTGAAGAAGAAAATTGAAAAAGTCAACATCCTTCGAGAAAAGCAGTTGTCAGACGAGACAAAGAGAACATTGACAAGTGATGATGACCGTAATCGACACAAGTGCCGGTAAGTATTGCAACATGGAATGTCACTAAGATGAATAGTGTAGAGTTCGAAGATCCATTTAGACTTTTACCTATACTTCTACTTTTAGACATAAAAGGTCGTTCTCAACTACAAAGCTAACGGGTGTGCTTAAATCAATTAGACGCTCCTTAATGTGAATTGTGGTTACACGGCACACCCTCAAGCTCCCCCACATCCCGAGATGGAAGGTCTAAGAGTCTGAAAGTCTAACTCACATTTCAAATGAAAAATTTAAAATTTGATTGAATATAGGTTTGTGCTTTTTCCTCTATTGTTAGACTTTTCAGATTTTCGAGTGAATTTTCGAACTTTACACGTATGACTATGATACTGTAGGAGAAAGCCTATATGGAGGGGTATGTAGTGGCGGACAACTGGGGGTTACACCGTGCTCCAATGTTTCGGTATCAGCTCATTTTTCTAGCTAGAATTCAGTTTAACTTTTTGTACTCATATGCAATAACAATGCGAGATGAACTGTTTAGCAATTAGTCTTCTTCTATGTTTTCTAGGGTATTTGCTAAAGAGGTTGAGCGCCATGGGCAGAACTTTTCGCAGAGACAATTACCTTACTTTAATTTTGTTGCAAACAGTGAACATAAAAAAAGAAGCATTGGTGTCATCGTTACTGGTAGACATAAACTTATCATCAGTGCCACGGCTGTAATTTTATTAGTGGTTATGATATATGTGTTATGGCATTACGAGTTTAACCCAAATACTAGTAAATATTTCCACTGATGTCTCAATAGACAGCTGAGGAGCAATTATAAAAAAGGGCCGGCTTATTAACCGCGGACGCTAAAATTTTATCGAGAAGCCAGCTACTTTAACAGGGCCATAGGCTGACGCTTAATCAGAAACTTCAGCTATCACTGATAAACCGTACAACTACCGTACAAAATTTGATGCCCAGAAATGACTTTTAAAGCGCACAGTCTCGAAAGCTCTTCTTATCAAGATAAGTTCTAGGGGTAAATTTCTAGGTCTAACAGTGAATTATCAAAATCATTTAATGATCCAGGATCAGCATATGATACTCTATATAGACCAGTATATACGTAAAGTGTGGGGTGCGGGAATGAGCTGGTGAATAGATTTTCCTCATATCATTGTCACCATATAGTGTTTCATCTATACAGTGTCGTAGGCTCATCCTAGATGAAGAAAAAAATGGGTTGATGATTCGTTATGATAGATACCTAGAAATTTACCATGTACAAATTTAGATCTGGAGTTAGTGACACGATCAAAATCGACCAAAACTTAGTAAAATCCAAATTTTTACCGAGGACAAGATCGTAGATCTCGGTCACACTGTTATCATTCCCTAACTTATGTATCTCTTACTGTGGCACTGTCTGTTAAAAAAATTTTTGTTAGTTTATCCCAGTTTCAGTCATGTTATGTCAATGAGGCGTCACCAGTTTCTATGTGATATATCCGTCCCAATTGCTTCCTACAAAAATTATTTCACTTCTTTTCCATCTTTTCTATTAGGCAAGATAGTACATTTCTTTTCTTTTAATTTTGGTCATAAAGCTTCAAAATTCAGCAGTGTTTTTTATAAAGATCTTCTTTATCTATATTCATAAAAACTAATGACACGACAGTAAAATTAACATTCGTGATATCAAATTAACTAAGCCTGTCATAAGACCAAAGTTCATAGAATCAATTCGCCAACATACAGTGCATATCTTTATAGAAAAGAGTTCTCAAGACCTGCGCTCCGAAAGTCATTTCTGGGTATTTCTTCATATAAGAAATCTAGCAAATTTGTTTGCCCAAATAAGACAGTCACAGTTGCAATACGAACTTCGAGTATTTCAGCACGTTTTTCTGCTCAAATCTTATTACAAAACTTTCCTTGTAGACAATCCAATTGTCAACAACTCATCTTCGATAATGCAACTAAACAGCAGCAACGTCACAGAAACTGAGCTTGATGTTCAGTATTCTGAATATGGAAGGTATTATGTGGGACATGTTCGAGCTGATAATAAACAGCGGCATGGATCGGGAGCTATTTATTTCGGTAATGGTGTAAAAATTCAAGTCGAATATGAAAATAATTATAAAATTGGTCAAAGTTACTTGATAACCAATACTGGACTAAAAATTAAATGTGACTTCGATACTGAACAACTGCTGAATTCGTATCGCTTTACCCTGGATTTAATTCTTCTTAACGGTAGTCGCTCACAATACGATGTATATGGTAATATTCAAATAAAAGATATAATTAAGATAATATCGTTTAATGACAGCAGCAAATGTTTTAAACTTTTGGATGGAATATCAAATATTGCTTTGATATCTGCTAGAGATGGGAGTGATACAAACCATATTTTAGTTGAAGAATTCTACGAAAAGTTACCATTCTTATTTTCTGTTGCTAATATTTGTCCAGAGCAAATTAAAACTAAACAAGGATTGTGGTTGGAAATTGGAACATCGATTGTTAATAATTGGCTTCATCGGACCGATATTAAAGGAATAATTATAATTTATGAAACATATGATTTTTATCAAACAAATGGTTTTGATGAGTTGGAATTGGTTGAAGACGAAATTGACACGTATCGAATAATCCCGAACCGAAATCCCGACATATATAACTTTTTGAATGTAGTTTTGGATGGTAACACAATTAATATACCAATTATAGTGATTACAAAAATAATAAACAAGCACTTTGACAAATCAATGATAGTTGTTTTTACAGATATATTAAAAGCTATCCAATTAGTAATAAATTCGATATTTGATAATGAGTCACGTTGTAGTCCACTGATTATGTCAGAGAAAAATATCTATGATACAAAGTCAAAAACTTTAACTAAAGTTGTAAAATCAAAACCTGGTTTTGCAATACTGGCGAAATACGATGATGAACAACCACCAAACTTATCTGAAATTAGATGCCTTAATTCGAGTTGGACGTATGTTGAAATATGCAATGAATCACATATTTTAAGACCTAACGATACGTGTTACCCTGTTTATTATCCATCAGAAGTACAACGTGCTTTTTATATGTCTCTGGTGAATCGTACGAACTAATTTAATCTATTCAGGTACTTCAATCTTTGCTAATAAGTAGAAATGAAATTGTTTTTGTATTCGTACAAATAATATTTATAGCTAGACGTTTCAATTTATTTGCTAAATTTTCATCAGTAGCAGCAATCTTTTCATACAATAATGAACTACCGTTATTGTGTTTGATGCAAAAAATTTATTTATTCAGTCCTTTGTCAATTAAACCTGCAATTGAACAAATAATAAGAATAACGTAGACCTTTGTATAATGTACGTTGAATATTTTGATTGTGCCCTAATAGAAAAAGGGTACTACAATGACATTTGTTAGATTAATATAAATTAGAATTATTTTTTGGATACTTTTCATTTAAAATGCAAAAATCCGTTCTCAGGAAAAGGATTAAGCAAAACTATACTTTCTACAAGAAAAATAGGTATGTTGACAATGAAAAACATAGTCTTATTTCGATTTATCTTGAGCAAGCCTGTAGAACACCGTTATATAAGAAAAAAATTCCGAGTAAATGATAAAACATTAACAAATTGATATATGACCAAACTAACTTTCTGAAACTAAAACAAAAGACAGAATAAGAAAGTTAAGTAAACAGAAGAAACATTAAAGCGGTAATTGAATTATGCATTTAGAAAAGTGTTTGTCCTAGTTTCACTAGAACAAAAGTCCCATTCAACGCTAATGTTCAATATGAATCTTGTTTAATCTCTCCAGCGTCATCATCATTCAAACAGTAATGCATAACTTATTGTTATTGTTTTTATCTTTGTCATATATGTATCTACAAAGAGGAGTGATAAGATGTTAATTTTTTGGAAACGATCAAGAAAATCATTATCCGTAAGGATGACTTTACCAGAGGCACGTAAGATCCTTTGGCAATTTTTTTCATATTTTTCCAGGGTTGATGTCATCAATAACAAGATAGTTAACTTCATCAGTCCATTCCTACGGATGATGGATGAAAATTACTTGTTCCAGGTTCGGTTCCTGGAGGAGCTGTTCTTTTTTTCATCCTTTTCAAGGCAGACGGTTTTGCTTGCACAATTTTACTTAGACGGTTTTTCTAACGATTTTAAAGCCATCAAAGCAAAACCATCATATTGCAACCATAGGAAACAAAAGCATGAACAATCAAAAGCATCAAAAAACAAAGCTTGATAACTTCTTCGGTGGCACGTTTACAGGTATAAGAATAAAATTTATAGTCATACGTAAGTCAAGTTATATACTGTTTGAGCCTCAATATCGTCGTTATGTAGAAAATTTTTGTTTGTATCATCGAACAACTTCTTCTATTAATTCAGTTGTTAGTGTTTTCGATCATGTGTCGTAAATCTAGAAAATCATCATACTCAGAACGATTAGAACACATACCTTGCATGTGGAATATAGGAATATACATTGAGAAAATAGTTTATAATCGAGATAAGATATTTAATTGTCAGTGTGGTTAAAAAGCGTGTTTAATTGTGTGTCTTAAATCTGTTAAGTTTTACTAGAGATGAAATTTCTATGCTAGAATAACACAACAAACAGTTTATGGTCTGTTCGATTGATAATCGCACCTGATTTGAATAGGAGAGTCTACTTTGACCATCTATAATTTACACCTCTACCTCCGTACACAAAAAATACCATGAAAGGTCGATTACTTGCACACAAAAGAAAAAATAGGCGTCCTTAATTTGTGGTTGTCTTCTATCACCACTCATTTACAGGTATATACTTGAAAATAAATATTAATTTGTTTTTACATATATCTCTATTATCAAATGTAAACGCGTATAGAATTCTTATCACATCTCTAAATGAAATAAACTGTGTCGATCTCAGAAGTTCAATCATAATTAATCTTAAATGAATTATTAATTTCAGTTATTTCTAATCTTGTTGATAATATTTCGAAAAGTCTAAAAAATAAAAAGTAATCTCGTTGTCTGTGTCTATGTTTAGAAACACGGTAGTAGATAAATCATGAAGATGACAATACATTTTCAAATAATAATTGAAAACAAATCTAGCAAGTAAATGTGAATAAAATTAACAAGAAAAAGATTCTCTGCTATCTTTACCATAGAAAAAATATCTCTTTTAAAAGGAGAAAAGATGGCATCCGTTTATGGCGTAATGGGGAGAGAGCCATGATACAAGTGTAAAAGTTAAATAACGTTTATTTAACAAATATCTCTTAATGTCAATAAATAATTATTATGTATCCGTTCTATTTTGTAGCCTTTAGAAGATATCAAACAGAATAGATTTTCCGAAACTCATGGAGTTAATGGAGCAAAATAAATAGTCTAAACATTAGAATATCAGCTTCTACATGATTCAAATTCTTGTAAAGAACTTATGAGAGCAAAAGAGAGAAAAAGTTTTTGAGTACGAGAGTCGACTGGAATAATATTCAACAAAGTTTATGGTCATCGTTGGACTCAACTATGTATCAAAACTCTTTATATCTTTCCGATGTATCACGAGTTAAAAAACCTGGTTGACAGACTTTCTAACATTAGCGTTTCTTCTTGTGAAACTAATTTTTAGTAGTTTTGTTCAAAACATTAGAATAATTTTGCATTATTCTGCTACATATGAATCGTACAATAGTGAAATTTTTATTTTATTATATGATGTTTCGAATTCTAAACTCAAATAGCTAAGATTTCTAGTTGATGCCTTGTTTCATTGAATGCGTTTCCTTTGAGACTGTGATGCCTACGCGAAAATCCTTCAAGGAGAAGAAACAAAGAGAGAGAGAGAGAGAGAAATCAGACAAATATGTATAAATCATAACGTTGTTTATAGTCTTTCTATTCACGTGTACGTGTTCGTAACAAGAACATCAATTTTTTTTAACAAAACTTACATTTCAACAATCCTGAACAGAGATATACGGAAAATTTCTCTTTTCTCTATAGATGATATTGTGTCTACGTTGACATGGTAGACCTGACTTCTATCTGATTCCGGCTATTAAAAGCAGGCAGTTACTTTTATTCTTGAATTTATAATATTATTTATTTTCAGTTTATAGCAAAAGCCTTGAATAATGATGTCCAAGATATTATTGTCGTTGTTTTTATTAGGAAAATCCAGAAAAAACAAAAGAGTTCTATGGTACGCTCATTTTACCACTAAAAACTAAAAAACGTTTGATCACCCTGAATAATCCTTTTTAATGACATTCCGTTTTTTTGCAATGAGAAAGTTTTCCTCCAAGGAAATAGATAAACATTTTGTAAGTTCAATCATCTTCTTTCAAAGATGATTGTGAAACGCCAGAAAGCTTTTGTCCACAGCCCGACTTCACCCGTGTCAGTATCTGTACAATCCATCTGTGGAATACTCGAAACGTTTATTTTCAACTTGACTTTTCAAATTGATGATTATTTGTCATTTTGCTGATTAAAAATAAAGCCAAAGTGTTGATGATAAGGATATTTAATCAGCGAAAACTATTTGTTCATTGGATGGTTTAAATTTTTTTTGAAATTTCATCCAGTCAAAAATTTAATTGAACATTTTATTATTTCCTTTTGCTCGTTCTCTTCAATGAGAAAAAAATTAAGGAAGTATATTTTATATATTTTACCGTCCATTCTTACGTCATTCATTATAACGATATTTTCTAATCCGAATCATAGATAGCTCGAGTCTGTGGAAAGAACCGTGTACTCTGTCCACACAATAGATATCTCAAAATATTTCTGAATTTGAAGTTAGCTACATCTAGAAAAAAGATAATGAATGGTATTAAAATTGAACAACAATGTTATGGTGATAGAAACATTTCATTCCCCTTATCATCCTCATCGATGGAATTGAACGAAACAACAACATCAACGGAAGAAGATGACGAGGAAGAGGAGAATGAAATAGAAAATGAACTGTTATTAAAGGTAATCAATTTTTTCACACTCGCTAATTTTCGCAAGGATTTCTACAGTAGTGAGAACTTTTGCGAATAAAGATGGTCTCCACAGTACCTGAGATTTCTATATTCTAGGGCAGAATATTGTAGCTGGGACAGATCATAGACTTCGTATTCTAGTATGATACGATTTCAATAATGAAAGTGTTTTTGCATCTCTGACATCAGAAGATCAAACATGAATAATTAGCTGTTTTTTAAAATTATCCATCAGTGAAAATAGTTTGCTTTGGAAAAAGCAACTAAAGTTGGTGTATAGCTATGGTTCATCTTAGTTATGTAGCTCTAATATGAGTTTCTTGACAAGTCGGAGTACCAGAACGTTTTGAAAGAGAAAGCGTGACACTTTATTCTTGTATGACTATGTACATGTTGTGTTAATTGTTAGTTGCAAAATACGCCAATTCTTTATCACAATTATATTAAGTGGTTTCGTTTATTTCTTTAAGAAAACGCACGATAGTGGTTTTGTCGATGTTAGTGATGAGAAAGAAGTTAAAAAAGGTAATTGAATTGTCATCGAAACTTTTTTTCGTTTCTAGATTTCAAACAGTCGCACCGCGAACACTCATATCATAATTAAAAATAGACATAGATTTCCGTTCATTTTATGTCTGTAGCATATGAGAAATGACAAAATAACGTCACATCTTGTTTCTGTGTGTGTGTGTGTGTGTGTACATAGACGATCTAATACAATTCATAGCTTGAAGGCATTTTAGTATATCATGCTGAGCATCCTCACTAGATAATGTATGTTTATAGATAATTGCTCAAGTAATTGAGTTTATTGTTCGTCGCGTACAATATGGTACATTCCATCTATCTGTATACCATAAATAAAATTCTTTTGTTTTCAGGAATACGTTCATATTCAAATTATACTAGTACACCATTAAGACTAGTCACAAATAATGTACGAAAATACACTAGTGAGTCGTCTTCAATCAATGACCGTCATTTGTCTTCCGACGATACAAAATTCGAAGACGGAAAGAGTTTCCGAAATACAAGGTGTGCATCAAGGAGATTTATTTGTACATCTTATTCAGTTACGCTCTTATTTTTTCACAGATTTCTCGGAAGTACAGCCGTAGCAATTTTGAATAAATGGTTTTATGCGAACCAAAATTATCCATATCCAGATGATGAAAAAACTGAACAATTAGCATTTGAAACTGGTATGTTAGTTATTCTATTTACTACGTTCCTAAGCAAACGACAGGAAGACCGGTAACTGTTGTTCATGTTGATTCGTCTCCTAGGTATCACATCTAAACAAATCAAAAAATGGTTTGCTAATAAACGAGTTCGCTCTCAGTCATGTTATAAGCCACTGCATCGATCTCGAAAAGTAATTAATTATGTGATATCATCTAATATGTGTACTATAGTTATATACTTATTTTAGTCAAGAATAAATTATTATCAATCCGTTTCTTCTCATTCTTGTCCACCTATTTTGTCACCTGCAACGAATTACAATTACATCATCAATCACAACAACATCACATCTTCATCTCAAAGTTCTAAAGATACAGCTACAACACTACAAAATATATTTTCAGCAGCTTCTGCTGCTCCTCATCCTTCATGTGTATCTGCTTTATCGTTACCCTCCCCTATGTATCAGTATCAATTTCAAAATTCATTTTTTAATCCAATGCTAATGAATCCAATTGCAATGATGATGATGATGAACCCAATGTATGCTCAACAACTATTATCAACAGCGGCTGCCAATGGATCTGTTCTATCTGCTCCAACTTCACCAATCATAGTACCCACAAGTCGAACAAAACAACGACCCACATCCAATATGTCAGCAACAACATTTGATAAAAGCAAGCGGTTCTGGATGTGATAAAAGAGAGGAGCGGATAAAAAAGCGATTTTGGTAAGATGCACCCAGGGCAGCCTTGCAGTGAAATTTATTTTTCGACACTTCATACACCATTCGATAGAGAATTTCGCGGTGATCACGAATATCACTTCCAAGGCTCTCAGAACCCTTTCCTC